GTTGCATTGGAAATTATAAATCACAAGGAATGGATGCACCCGCAGCAGCCATTGACAATGGGGATTTTGAGACACCTCGCCAATTGTGTCCAGCTATTGGTGTTTACCGTCCCAAGGACCCCAACCAGGAGGTCTACATCTTCTTTCGCTGCTTAAACTAGCTTTTGTGGATTTCATTGACTGATGAAGCCATGTTTTGATTTGACCAACACTGGCTCTTTTCCAGTCTGACCTTATGTCAGTTAACATTGCCCATCGAGGAAGGCCATCGATGGCTAGGGATGCATACGTAACACATGTCCTAACCATCTCAGTCGATGTAACTTCACAACCTCGTCGATTGATTTCCCCTCCCACCTACCTACCTAGCACTCGACCGATGCCTAACCTCAATATTGCTCACCCTATTATGCCATTTCACACGGGAGATAGAACGCAGGCACCTTTGATCAAAGACAGCTAGCCAGGTTTTTTGTGTCTTCCACTCTCAATGGCCTAGTCTTACAGCCATAAATAAGAACGTGGTGGACTGCTGGTGAGTACACACGCCCTTTGGTCAACAGCCAGCCGGATGTCACGTCTACGGCAGCGACAGCGTAAACTAGCATATGCCAAACGAGCCTTCTGTATCCGTTTTGAGATTTCGTCAGCGATCAACCCGTTGGCACTAGGTGATGCAACTTCCCAAGTGAAATGGTCAACACGCTCCACCAACCACTTCACTCCCTATTTCTAAGCTACGAGTGAGTCAATGTAGTCCAGTTCTGTAACATCATCTTACATTTGGCGGGAGCGAATCTAAGCATTTGGTACAATATTGCATCTAATTTACTCAATAACAGCAGCAGCAACAACAGAAAAAGGTACATTACAGGGTACACTTAACCAAAATTGATAACATCCATCAACTTTTGGCATTAGCAGAAACAGTAGGGTCAAAATGTGCAAATGTAAAATACTATTAGTATTAATAACATAAAATTATGAGATAATAGGGATAGTGTGACCATAAAATTATAAAATATCAGAGAATAACTGAGCCAGTTTTTTTGCTAACAGTATTGTAAGCTGTACGTTTCATGCTTAACACTATCCGTGTCACATAGAACGTAGGCGGGGCAAACAGGGCATCGTTGAGTTTCTGTACTTGGCTGTGCGAGAGAGCAGATAATCTTCTGAAGTGACTTGTAGTCCTACATGATGAGATGCAAGCGGGGGGAGAGTTGTGAATCGAAAGGGTTTTGAGAGTCCGACAATATGGATTTCGATCATTTCTCACACAACTGAGTTCAGGCATCTGTCGAATACAGTAGTAACGAGCTGCGTAAGTGGCAAACCACTTAATCAACTGATAACTTGTAATACCCTTCGCAATATGACATAATCCTTTTTGAGTAGCCCGTGAAAGACTAAGTGTGGGGGTAGCAAGGAGATTGTTCACGCTGAAGTTTCTGGGGGGGGGTAGCAATAAGGAATAATAGATAGACGTTAGAATTCATGAGCCTTTGAATCGGGTCCCAGTGGCTGAATGATATACGAGCTTTCCTTGTAACCGGAAGGTCCTGGGTTCGAATCCCAGTGGGTGCGTACTCTCGATGATTCCCAAACTAGGATGAAACGGCAGCTGTCCAGTACTCCCTGGTTTTCAATGGTTCTCTAATTGATATCAGTCCGTGATCAACTCGTAAAACATAACTAACCCTTTCAAACCAAACTATAGAAAAATAAAAGATAAGATTCAAGAGTTAACAAATTGTAAAAGTAAAGTTTGAGTTAAAATTATTTTAATATTTGTATGCTTTCAAATCTTAATGTGACACTTTCTAAAAATTTTCGGGGTCCCTCGTTCATAGATGAATTAAGTTCATTACTAAAATTTGAGTAGGAAGTTCAACAGTGTCTTTGAACTTAGACATCTTGACTGCAGCACTTCATCAGTATTTAATACAGTTTTTTACAAATATATTTTTAATGCGCAGAGGGGAACATAACAACACATATGAAAACCATTGCATGAGTCAACTACAAACTTGAAAATATAAGATTTCTCCTATAGTTTTAGAAGGATTTTCCAAACCAGTAACCAGATGAGAAGACAAAGAACAAAAATACCACTG